ATTATTTGATAGTGTAAAAACTTTTATATATATATATATATATATATATATATATCATGCAGTTAGAGTCAGAGTAATTAAAATTGTATACTTATAAAAATAAAATTTTATATTTATCTAATAATCTTTGTCTGGGTTTATTATTGCTTGTTTTTTAGTTTGCTTCATTTGTTTCACATTTTAATTAACGATACTAATTCAAAAGAATTAATATAGAAATATTTAAGAGTAAAAATTTCAGGTGACTGACCTAAAATTTTATTAAAATTAAATCATTATTATTATATTGAAATATTAATGACCAGTTAGTGATACGTCAAACAAGAAAAAGCGTGATAGAGAATAGCCAAGAGACGCACAAATGGTTCTAATTTTAAAGTATGATATAAATAGAATTGACGAATCAAATGGCCGAATAGTTAAAAACTTAGTTATTAATTAATGTAATGCCGTATATTACGTGTGTGTCCAATAATTAATATTATATGGAGATGTATATCTTTATCTCCACTTAGAAAAATTATTATTCTTTCTTATTTTAACAGAGATACAGAGTTCCTATTTTCTGTACTTGTATATAATAATCAAGAAATTTACTTTTTATGACTTATGTTAGAGGAGCTAAATCTTCAAAAGAAAATCTCTATAATTTTATCATTAAATTATTTATTTTTATAACTTAAAATATTTTTATTCTTTAAAAAAAATGTTTCAATCATTTATCTTTTAAATGATTCATTTTGATTTTTTAATTTCAAATTTAACTTAGACTTGTCTTTTTCAAAATATTTTTTTAAAATTTTATTTTAGAGTATGATTTTAAACATTTTTTATTAATTCAAAACATAAAGTTTGGCATATTAAATTCATACATGTGAAAACTATGAAATACAACTAGTGTTGCAACCAAAAGATTATAAATATGGTGCAAAGCGGCATAAGTAATCCAAAATAATCTGAGATAATATTATTTTTATAGTTTTCAAGACTCATTTTTGTGTATTTTTCATCATATTTACAATTTTTTTGTTCGATAAATAATTGAACTTCATGTAGACAAATTTAGTAGAACAAGTTTTGTATTTTAAATTAGTTAAAAATAATCTAAAATTATGTCCCAAAATTAAAAATGATAAAAAAAAATAAGTCAAATTTAAAAGTTAAAGGAATAAAATATTTTTTTTTTTAAAAAAAAGAAGAAAACAAAATTTTCTAACAAAATAAAACGCCAAAAGTGTATAAATGTTAGCCTTTTTAATATTTTTAATATATTTTTTCTTCAAAATTATTAATTTCCTTTTCTGTTCTACTTGGAGTTTGGATAGCAAAGCCAAGTGGGCTTGTGATAGAGACAGAGTAAAAAAAAATGTGCTTGAATTTCGAGCATTAAAAAGGATTTAAAATTGTTGAGACATGCAAACAATTTAGTCGTCTAAATAAATGAGCATGAAAAACCATTGTTGAATATGGATCTATACCTATATCTCTATTGTAAAATGATTTTCTCTTTTGATCTCCATTTTCTTTCCTTTTTTAACTATCATTATTAGTTAACTAAACAAAATATAGAAATTGAATTGTAAATACTTAATTTTAATTTGTATTTGCAATTTTCAAACACAATTCTAATTTGTAATCAAAGTGGCATGTCACATGCTAACTAGATTGGTGGGTGATTATCAATACAAAATAAATACGACACATAAAGCACTTGTTAGAAGACTTCTACTAGAAGTGATTATGGGTGCAAAAGAGATAAGACACATGAATAAATAGAATACACATCAAATTGAGAAAGGAATCACTATACACTTAAAGGAATTGATTAGTAGAATTTATAGCAACTAAATGCATATTCTTTTTACAAAATTTAAGTTAAGTGTGACTTTGTGAGTATGACATATTTGGGTGATTTTCTAAGAAAATAATTTCTTAAGATGTGTGAGAATCAAATCAACGTACACTAAAAACATTTGTTATGATCTTTATAAACAATTGTCAATCATAGAAACAACTTTGTTTTTTTTTTTTTTTATATTTTAAATCTTGCATCTATAATGAACTATTATTCTTTTTTTATTAAAACAATATAATTATTTAATGAAATAAAATATTAAA